CCTTCTACTTCGACCAGAACAGCCTGAAGGTGGCAGGATTACTCATACCAACAGCTGTATGGCAGCTTTTCCAACACGGGAGGCCCCAAAGCAGTAAATGACAAGGCAGATCATTTTATTGAAGGGCCAGAACACTAGTGTTTCCTTGGTTCAGACAAAGCGCAGCAGCCATTCAGAAAGGGGAGAGTGTCGCCAGTGGGTGAGGGTTTTGACAACTCAGTACAGGTGTCAAAGCCTTCTCTACTCTGTGTGTTTCCTCCTCTTCAATGTTTGGTTGCAATGAGGAAGTTGGGGTAAAAGCTTTTTGCCTTAAGCCTTTGTTTTGATCTCATTTCCTCTTCTCGGAGAAGAAAGCAGTGCTCTGAGCTGTGTTGACAAAACAAACTCAGCTGCTGTCAGTACCTGGCTTCCCCAGCACATTCGTTGTGTAGCTTGAAGCAAAACAGTTAAGCCTTCAGGACCTCAGTTTCCCTGTCAATGAAATGAGGGAGATAATGCCTGCTTATTACTTCATCACCACTCACCCAGGGCGGGTGAGACGTGCAGGAATGAGCAGCGGAAAGTTTTCCAGGAGAAATAACATAATCCTCCATTCTGGTCTCTATGCTCTCCACCCAATAGGTAGTTACTGTTGTGAAAATTAGCATGTTCAAGTCTGAGACCTGGTAATAACCGTCTCCCTCCGTTTTGGCCATCCTCTTAGCATTTCTTTAGTTTTACTTATAACAAAAAGGAGAGTGTTAGTCTGAATTAACTTGAGGATGCTTTTAATCTCTAAAATGTTTTGTTCTCCAGTTTTTAGTGAAAGGTTGCAAGTGGCTTCCCACAGCACCAAATCCAGTGGCTTTTTCCCTTCCTTGTAGGGTCCTCGCCGACTTTGACATTGCTGCCTCTTGACGTCAGTCCTTTCTGGTTCTTCTTACTCTCCTGTTTGTTTCTTCTCTGGCTTTTTCCATTTTCTTTTACTCTCCTCCTCCGTCTCCTAATCTCTATGTTAGAGGCCGTTTTTTTTTTTTTTCCCCTCTGAACTAACCTGTTTGGTTATATCACTAGTCCATTTTTTAAAATCATGTGATTGGTCTTTTATCTGACTTTAGAAGCTCTTTATATAAGTTCTGTATTTGATATAAGTTGCAGGTATTTTTTTTATTTGTTTTTTGCTTTTTTTTACTTTGCTTTTGGTGTTTGTGTGTTTTTAAATCATACAAAAGCTTTCTGTTTTTATGTTGTCAAATTTATCAGTCTTTTGCGTCTTTGAATCTGAATTTTGAGCCACAAAGAAGTTTTCCCACTCTCTGGTTTTAGACAGTGTCATCTTCAATTTTGTGGTGTCATTTCAATTATGAACATACTCTTATTAAAAGAAAATACATGCTAAAAGGTTAAAAAATAAATAAGAAAATAAAATAGAAAGTCCATTAAATTTCACATGAGATTTTACTGTAAAGACATGTTAACTCAGTGGGAAATATACAGGTGTTTTAATAAGTGCTATTAGACTATCTAGTTAGCCATATAGAAAAACATAAAATTAGATTTATTATTCATATTCTACAAAAGGACAACTTCTAAGTGGATCAGAGATGTACTATTATTAGCATGAGCAAGTGTTTTCACATCCAAAAAAGAAAATTTGAGATGCTTTCTAAAATCCTTGAAATATCAATCATGTTAAATAAAAATATAAATTGGAAAATAGACTACATCCAAAAATTATTAACTGGCTTATAGCAGACCCAAACCAGCTGAGAACTACAAGAAAAGCTAGATATTAAAAAAAAACAACAACAAAAAAAACACACACACACACACAAAAAAAAAAACAAAGTCTGTTTGAAGGTGTTGGAAAGCTACCAAGACAGCCAGGACTCAAGGGTCCAAGATTTATGAGAGGCGGGAAACTCGATAAGGTGAGCACACTGTTTACTCTGCGTTTATTTTTGAGACATTTCTAATTTGTAAGTGGTATGGGGAGAAAGGTAGGGCAGTTAGGCAGAAAGCAGCTGCCAAAAGGCAGAGAATCCGAGGAAAGCTTTTGGCAGTCTCATGAGGCTGGCAGAGCAAAAGTTGGGCTTCATTGCTACAAAGAGAGCTGGTAATTGAGGGGCTAATATGTTACAGAGAAGGGATAGGCACAAAAGAGACCCCAATAACCTGAGCTGCTTTATTTCTCGAGGCAGGTGCCAATTTCTAAGTAACCTAGTCGGACAGAAGCCAGGCAAAAAGTGACAGCCAAGAG